TCAACTGGCCGCCATGTTTTAGTTTCAATTCCTCACAGCGAATCGGCGATCGCGAAGAGGGAGTTCCGCTTCTATAAGTGTAGAATTCTGTGGTGTGAACCCAACAATAAGAGTTGTTGTGTAACGTAGTCTAACAGTTCAGTTTGACCTCAACTCAGCACTCGTTACACAAATATTATAAAAGAAGAGCGCTCTGTGTCGGTTGGATACAGACTGACAAACATATTAGTGAGGAGAGAAGTAGAGTTTGTGCTCGCAAAGCTTTCACATTTCACAGGTAAGTCTCTTATAAAGTCAACATTGAGGCGATTTTGTAGAACTAAACTCATTTTGTAGAGTGGTTTCTCAAGGGGGCTTGCCCCCCTGACCTGGGGAGATGAATTTTATCCTAATTTGATGTTTTGCAGTGAGGTTGTATCTGACTCTTTGTGTAGCCTATTTCAAATAGGCCTAGAAAAGTCTAGAATCTAGATCTAGATCTAGAATCTAGATCTAGTATTTGGTCATCAAGACTTCTCTGGATTTTTTCTCTGGGTGTGTAAACAAATGACCCAAATGGTAACCTGGATCGTAGACTTTAACGACCAGAACTCTAGAATCTAGATCTAGATATAGATTTCTAGATCTCTAGATTTAGATCTACAAGATTCACAGTATTCTGTGATCTAGACGTTTGGTTCAGTTTTTCAGTTTTCGTCTTGAAGATTATCCTTTGATCTCTAGAATCTAGTCTAGATCTAGATCTAGATCTTAGATATCTATATTTCTAGATTAATTAGGCTATGGCCACCTCTATCTATTCTCACCCCGGGTGAGAATCGAAGTGACTATTCGGACTCGAGTCCGAATATGATAAAATGTTATTCGGACTCTGATTCTTGTCCAGCATGACATCACTGCCGACTTCCTGTGACTCATGACTCCGGCTTCCTGTCCTGCCTCACTCGTGACTCGCCTCAGGCTGGGTAGAGACCAGGATCACTTCAGGCAAAATGGCGTTAAATTGTGCAGGAGCCGAGTTTTTATCTTATGATGAATTTGAGGCCGGCCTGAAAAGTTATAGCACTTCTAATAAATGTTTATTTGTCAAGAGGTCATCAGAAGCAATTAAAGATGGCTCGTTAGCGTGTGTCGGGGTCGGATGGGTGGCCTGCATGTGCGTGTCGGGGAGGGGGGGGGTACTATCGGTCCGGGCGTTGAATGTCGCATACAAGTCAGTCTCTCCCCCCCCCCCCCCCCCCCGGCAACTGATCATTACAATAATAAGCTAGTCTTGACGTAGATCTACATAATGAATTGTGCGCTGGTCTATGGAATCAAAAGTTGCCATATGCTCGGTTCTACACAGCATCACAACTTTTTCTTGGTAAAACAATCAAGATGACACAGGCTTGTGTATTTGAACGAATCGATCTTTTTTTTTACACAGCTCATAATATGCAGGTGCCAGGTGATCTGCTAATCTTCAATTTTACCTTTTTCTACCACAAAGAAAGTGGGAAACATGGGGGGGTGGGGGGGGCGTATCAATGAGGCGGCGGGCATCGGATCGGCAGATAAAGTGTGGGGGAAACTAAAAAATGGCGGAAAACTGGAAGCACTGAACGTTACATCTATAGAACGAAGACACTTCCTTTTTTTCCAGACCTTGTCCGAATAACATTTTTTCAAATTCGGACTCGAGTCCGAATATGAAAAACATTTTTTCAAATTCGGACTCGAGTCCGAATATGAAAAAAATGTTATTCGGACTCGAGTCCGAATAATGACGGCCGGTGAGAATAGCGCAGGCGAGTCTTTTGGCTATTCTCACCCGGTGGGCGTTCACCGTTATAGTATAGCCTAAGCCAACCAGTTAAGCGTTCACCCTGAACCACAGAATTCTACACTCTCTCTCTTTAGCTATCTCTATTACTACTGTTAATGTTAGCCTAAAAGCGTGCAATTTTGTCTGTGGGCAGTGGAGAGAGAAAGAGAGAGAGAGAGGAGTAGCGCAAGAACTTCTGGGCAAAACAAAATGGCGACCCGCGTAGTTCGGCTCGATTCGGAAAGTTAAATAACCATAGCATCTTTGTAGACGACCAAATTAATTTACTTTTTTGTGTTTTAACATCATTTTAAAACTTTGTTTTGGTCAATTTGATCGTCCGCACCGATAGACAGTATTCAGAAAGAGACAGAGAGAGAGAGAGAGAGAGAGAGAGGGGAGGAGTAGAAATCTAGATCTAGATCTTGCGAGAACTTCCGTGCAAAACAAAATGGCGACCCGCGTAGTTCGGCTCGATTTGAAAAGTGAAATAGCCATAGCATCTTTGAAGACGATCAAATAAGCTTACTTTTGTGCTATAAAACGTAATTTTTTCTTG